TACCCAGGCCACCTGGGGGGGTTCCACACTCACTCCTGTCCCCAGGCCGCCTGGGAGGGGGGTCCCCAGTCATTCCTTCACCCAGGCCACCTGGGAGGGGGGTCCCCAGTCATTCCTTCACCCAGGCCACCTGGGGGGGTTCCACACTCACTCCTATCCCCAGGCCGCCTGGGAGGGTCCCAGTCCCTCCTGTACCCAGGCCACCTGGGAGGGGGTTCCGCAGTCATTCCTTCACCCAGGCCACCTGGGGGGGTTCCACACTCCTGTCCCCAGGCTGCCTGGGAGGGGGAGGGGCACCTGGCACCAGGTCCTGGCAGGTGAGGTTTGTGCCCACGGGGCTGTGATGGGCACTGGCTTTCCTTCCTGAACTGGAGAGGCTTCCTGCTGCCCCGGCTGCGCCCTCGTGTCTGCGCCCACCATGGACTACCCGCTGCCCCAGTGCCCGCGCAGTGACCACGGAGGGGTGTTCTGGAAGGTTCCTAGCGAGCCCAGTGCTCGCCGACAGTCTGTGCAGCGGCGTTAGCTCTTCACCCCGGCCCTCGGCAGAGGTGCCTTTCCCGCATGGGGATCTGGGGGCTCCAGCCAAGGACTCGCCAGGGCTCCAGCCTAGAGCCTGCGATCAGGGCTGTGAAGGCACCCCCAGGGAGGAGGTCAGCAGCCAGACAGGTGGGTGGGGGTAATGCCGGCGGTTGTGGCTCGCAGGCCCGTCTGTGCCAGGCACTGTGATGGAGACAGTGCCACCGGGAGGGGCCGGTCATCCCATCTGCAGACCTGAGAGCCCGGCTGGAGGTCGCCCTCGGCACAGAGCTCATCCACCCGGCTCCTCTGACTCCACAGCCACTGACCACAGCGGGATCCCCCCACCTCACCTCACCTCACCTCACATACAGAGTAGAATTTCCCCCCCTCACCTCACATACAGAGCGGGGTCCCCCCCTCACCTCACCTCACATACAGAGTGGGGTCCCCCCTCACCTCACCTCACATACAGAGTAGAATCCCCCCCTCACCTCACCTCACATACAGAGCGGGGTTCCCCCAAACCTCACCTCACATACAGAGTGGAATCCCCCCACCTCACCTCACCTAACATACAGAGCGGGGTCCCCCCACCCCTTACCTTCTTACCTAACGTACAGAGTCTTGAGGTGCTGGGAGAGTAAACAGCAAAAAGGAGGCAGGGCGGGTGGGACATGAGAAAGCAGGATTGTCCTCCTCTCCTACAGTGAAGCTCAGCCACTCAGGACGGGCTCTGCACCCCCCACTCTCTGCACCCTTCCCCGCACTCCCCGCCTTTCTGCCTCTCTGCACCCTTCCCCACACTCTGCACCCTTCCCTGCACTCTGCACCCCCCTGCCTCTCTGCACGCCCGTGCCTCTCTGCACCCTTCCCTGCACTCCCCGCCTCTCTGCCTCTCTGCACCCTTCCCCGCATTCTGCACCCTTCCCTGCACTCTGCACCCCCCTGCCTCTCTGCACGCCCGTGCCTCTCCGCACCCTTCCCCGCACTCCCCGGAATGGCTTCGGGTAGAGGCAGCTCGTTTTCACTCTGGACAGTGCCCTTGAGCAAGGAGCTGTGCTTACTCTGTCTTGTAATTGCACATCTATCTATCTATATAAAAAGCCTGTGTCCGTGATGATCAGGCCGACCAAATGACCGGTCACCATGAGGTGCTAGCATAAAAACCGACCAATCAGAACCTAATCTGGGTGAACTGTGAAGGCAGTTTCTTCACAGAGCTTGTACTGTAAGAAGGTTAGGTCAGGGATGAGAACTAAAAATTGCCACCAGCACAGACCTGAGGTGCCGCTTCTCAGAGCAGCCAGAGATACACCTGGTAGCAGACTGGGGGCGTGATTGAAGGGCTGGCACCAATGTGAAGGCGGGGCTGATCTGGATTTCCCAGAGGAGCCGATGGCTGCCTAGGAGGCGGAGCTTTTGACACTGACTGGCATAGAAACAGACCAATCAGAACTTAATCTGGGTGAACTGTGAAGGCAGAACCTAAGGTGGAGGCTGAGGAGGGGTTTTAAGGGCAACAGCTGTTTGGTGTAAGGTGTAAGAAAGCGGTTCAATTTTTTAATGACCGGTTTGGCAGTATAGTGCATATGGCTGGCTATCATTCCAGATACAGGGATTATGTATTTTTGTCTGCCAAGAGCATCTCCTCCTGCTGTAAAAGGCCCCCCCCCCCCCCGCATTTAAGCAATCCTATCCCATATAATCTATCTATACTAATAAAAGGGTAATGTGCTAATTAGATTGGGTTGACTGGCCATCTTCCGGATGTCCGACTTCCTTCCTGACAAAGCCATGGTGGTGGAGGTCAATTGGCTGGCAGGGGAGAGCAGTTAGGGGTGAGATCAGGCTGGCAGGGGGTTAGGGGCAATCAGGCTGGCAGGGGAGGGCAGTTGGGGGCGACTAGGCTGGCAGTGGAGGACAATTGGGGGCAACCAGGCCGGCAGGGGAGGGCAGTTGGGGGCATTAGGCAGGCAGGCAGGTGAGTGTTTAGGAGCTATTGGTCCTGGATTGTGAGAGGGATGTCCCCGGGATTGAGTCTAAACCGGCAGTCAGACATCCCCCAAGGGGTCCCAGATTGGAGAGTGTGCAGGCTGGGCTGAGGGACGCCCCTCCCCCATGCACGGATTTTGTGCACTGGTCCTCTAGTCCTATATAATAAAGAGGTAATAAGCAAATTAACCCTCACGCCCTCACAAGATGACTGCCTACGACCAGGCCGGCAGGGGGGTTAGTGAGGGACTACCAAACGACTGAACAAGCAGGTTGCATGGGGCAACCAGGCCGGCAGGGGGGTTAGTAAGGGATGACCAAATGACTGAACAGCAGGCTGTGTGGGGCGACCAGGCCAGCAGGGATGGGGCAGTTGGGGGCGACCTGGCTGATGGGGGAGGGGTGCAGTTAGGGGTGACCAGGCAGGTGAGCGATTAGGAGCCAGCAGTCTAGGATTGTGAGAGGGATGTCCAACTGCCAGTTGGGGCCTGACCGGCAGCCAGACATCCCCTGAGGGGTCCCGGATTGGAGAGGGTGTAGGTTGGGCTGAGGGGACCCCTCCCCCCATGCACAAATTTCATGCATCTAGCCTCTAATCCTATTTAATAAAAGGCTAATATGCAAATCAACAGAATGACCAAATGACCAGCAAGATGACTGGTCGCTGTGGTGTGCACTGACCACCAGGGGGAAGACACAATGCAGGAGCTTCCCCCTGGTGGTCAGTGCACTCCCACAGGGGGAGCACCGCTCATCCAGTAGCTGGGCTCACGCTGGCGAGTGCAGCGGTGGTGGCTGGAGCCTCTCCCACCTCTGCAGCAGCGCTAGGGATGTCCGACTGGCGGCTTAGGCCTAAGCCGCCAGTCGGACATCCCCCGAGAGCTCCTGGACTGCGAGAAGGTGCAGGCCGGTCTGAGGGACCTCCCACCCCTGAGTGCACGAATTTTGTGCACTGGGCCTCTAGTGTTCAATAACGGTTGAAATCTTAAATGGATTGGGTGCTCAGGGAATGGGAGTCTGTTAACTTTGAAAAATTAGTGGTGCTGTTCATTGGAAAAGGGGGACTTGTATATGATGAGAAATTCAAGTGAGACTGAAGCATCTTGTTCTGGTTATAATTTAAACACCCCAGTTTTTCCAGAATCCAGCTTCGTGTGGGTCCTTTCAGAAATGTTTCGTGTGTACACTTGTTCATGTGTGTGTATGTCAGTGTGTAAGTATGTTCACATATGTTACATATGTTACAACTGAATGGACTTACATGATGATAGCTAAGTCTTAAATTGTAGTTAATCCTAAAACCACACTCTGAATATAAATGACAGAAATCCTTTATTATATGCATTGTAAAGTAATTGTCTTGTGTATATAATTGATTCTACTTTTAAGAGAAATATATGTATGACATCAACCATATCCATAAAAGAACACTAGCATGAATGCTCTGAAATTCTAATAGAAGAAGGCTATACCTTAGACACCCTAATCTCTAGGGTTGCTGAGTTACACGTGAGAGAAACTTTAGGAATTAGTTCGATGGCAAAGGTCCCAGTAGGTTTAATATTTTCTTTGAGGTTTCTCTATATTTCCAAATGTCTTCCTCATAATTAATAAAATCTGCCGGGGTCCAACCCCAGCAGGTCCAGGGGTCCCCAAAGGTGTAGACGGAGTCGGCGAAGAAGGAAGGACACGGAGACAGTGTTCAGTTGATCAGCAGCCTAGCCAGGATCTCCAGCCAGGATCTCCAGCCAAGTTCTGGTCTGGATCTCCAGGGAAGTTCTGCTGTTTATTGTCTTGTTACATCCGTATTTATCCCAGTTGATTTTAATCCTGTCAATTTCTATTACAAAGGTTAGGGCGTTTCTTATCTCCATTCCAGGGAGTAAAGATTATGTAGCTTAAGCATGATTGTTTGTAGTGATTAACTACCCGCCTGGCACTTAGTTAAGGAGTTTCATCCCCTCCCTGACTTCAGGGAAAAATTCCTACCTGGGAAAACAACCTTTCTAGGAGAGGCATCCCCTCCCTGACTTCAGGGAAAAATTCCTACCTGGGGAAACAACCTTTCTTGGAGAGGTGACCTTGGTTAAAACACACAGCGCTAAGGGGAGCAAACGTATTAAGAACAGTATGCTATATACGCCAGGTCCCTTGAAACATATGCTGTGCAGATGTTTCTTTCCTGCAGCGACTGTGTCAAGCAGCAAGGATGGACCGGCTTCCGGCAAAAATCTTCAAAGTGACATTATATATTAAAAATACGACAATATTTTGAAGAAAAGGGTTGCATTTTGCTGTAGCACACAGCTATGTTTTGAAAAACAGTTGCCGGTAATAGCAGATTATCGGTGTATCTTAGAAATTGTGTTTCTAGTGTAACTGTGAGCTCAGAAAAGCAGCTTAATCTGACTAGAGAAGAGGATGGGGCATCGGCGCACTTTAAGACGCTGTCACTAACTCTCGTTTTATGTCTTGTTTTCTAATCGTAGGTTTTAGTATAAAGGCAGTGCCCTTCCAGAACGCCGTCTTGAACGTGAAGGAGCTCGGAGGTACAGCATTTCCAGTGTTTCTGTCTCCCCATCTCCCCTCACGGGCGTTCCTGTGGTCCCTGTGGCTAAAACCCGGTGATTCCTTCTGCTCATAGGTGGTCCTTTTTACCTTTGCCCCTGAGAATGCATTTCCCAGAAACATCTCCTCTCTCTGTGTGTCTGCAAGGCTGACATGCGTTCTAAAGAACATAAACTCTGTTTCCCTTCGTATGAATTCAAGAACTGGACCGCGAGTGCCATTTCAGAAACTGCACTCTTTCGTTTGACTTACTAAAAAGTGTACTGTTGAGTGAAAACGAGGAGAATGTAACGCCGTGTCGTAGAGAAGGGCGCTGTAGCCCCGCAGGGAGGAGCGCTCCGGAGGCGGCCGTGTTTATGCTGCAGGTGTCCCGGGTCCGGGCTTGTTGGAGGGTGTCTGTCCGGTGAGGACTCTGCTGCTGGGCTCTCTGCTCTCAGGCGCAGTCACTGGCGAGGCTGTACCCCAGACCGCACCGCGCTCGGCCGGTCCTTACCCTCGCTCTGGGGCTTTGGGCCGTGGTTTATGTCAGTCGGGGTCTTAACCGTGTAAATAGGTTAACGGCGTCACTCATCAGTGAGGCCGCTACGTCCTCTGGTGACACAGGGGGACTCAGGGCCGCGGGCACATCAGTGAGGCCGCTACGTCCCCTGGCGGTGCAGGGGGGACTCAGGGCCGCGGGCACATCAGTGAGGCCGCTACGTCCTCTGGTGGCGCAGGGGGGACGCAGGGCCGCGGGCACATCAGTGAGGCCGCTACGTCCTCTGGTGGCACAGGGGGACGCAGGACCGCGGGCACATCAGTGAGGCCGCTACGTCCCCTGGCGGTGCAGGGGGGACTCAGGGCCGCGGGCACATCAGTGAGGCCGCTACGTCCTCTGGTGGCGCAGGGGGGACGCAGGGCCGCGGGCACATCAGTGAGGCCGCTACGTCCTCTGGTGGCACAGGGGGATGCAGGGCCGCGGGCACATCAGTGAGGCCGCTACGTCCTCTGGCGGTGCAGGGGGGACTCAGGGCCGCGGGCACATCAGTGAGGCCGCTACGTCCTCTGGTGGCGCAGGGGGGACGCAGGGCCGCGGGCACATCAGTGAGGCCGCTACGTCCTCTGGTGGCACAGGGGGACGCAGGGCCGCGGGCACATCAGTGAGGCCGCTACGTCCCCTGGTGGCGCAGGGGGACACAGGGCCGCGGGCACATCAGTGAGGCCGCTACGTCCTCTGGTGGCGCAGGGGGGACGCAGGGCCGCGGGCACATCAGTGAGGCCGCTACGTCCTCTGGTGGCACAGGGGGACGCAGGGCCGCGGGCACATCAGTGAGGCCGCTACGTCCTCTGGTGGCGCAGGGGGACACAGGGCCGCGGGCACATCAGTGAGGCCGCTACGTCCTCTGGTGGCGCAGGGGGGACTCAGGGCCGCGGGCACATCAGTGAGGCCGCTACGTCCTCTGGTGGCGCAGGGGGACGCAGGGCCGCGGGCACGTTCGTGAGGCCGCTACGTCCTCTGGTGACACAGGGGGACGCAGGGCCGCGGGCACGTCAGTGAGGCCGCTACGTCCTCTGGTGGCGCAGGGGGACGCAGGGCCGCGGGCACATCAGTGAGGCCGCTACGTCCCCTGGTGGCGCAGGGGGGACTCAGGGCCGCGGGCACATCAGTGAGGCTGCTACGTCCTCTGGTGGCGCAGGGGGACGCAGGGCCGCGGGCACGTTCGTGAGGCCGCTACGTCCCCTGGCAGCGCAGGGGGACACGGGGACGCAGGGCCGCGGGCAGCAGGTGCGGCGAGCTGGATGGTGCAGAAGGAGGTTCTCTTCCAGCTCTTCTTTAACCGCTCGGTGCCGTGTCCTGCCCCTGCTCTTTGGTAAAGCTCATTCGAACCATGTCCTGTTTTTGGTAAAATGGAAAGTCAGACGTATGCCATTTAATAGTGCTTGATGGCCTCCCTATTTTTTTTTAAAATATATATTTTTATTGATTTCAGAGAGGAAGGGAGAGGGGGAGAGAGGTAGAAACAAACATCAATCATGAGAGAGAATCGTTGATCAGCTGCCTCCTGCATCCCCCCCACCCCCCCCAATGGGTATGGAGCCGGCAACCCTGGCATGTGCCCTTGACCGGAATCAAACCCAGGACCCTTCAGTCCACAGGCCGACGCTCTAGCCACTGAGCCAAACCGGCCAGGGCTGCCTCCTTATTTTTAACTCGTAAAGCACGAGCTGGTCTTTTCTGAGGCTTCAGAGAGCCGTGCCTGGGACAGGTGTACTTGGTCAGTCCCTCGTCCAGCCGCCTTGCACTGTGTGGTGTCAGTATTCCCAGTCAGGCCTGGTTGATAACTTCCAACTTCCCTTTCAGATATTTGGGTTTGTTGTTTTGACCATAAACATCATAAAACATGAATGTTCTTGTAATGAACTGTGTGCTTGTACACGTAACTGTTAGACGACTGTATATACGTGTGTGTCTGATTGACATGGATGATGTGTAACGGTGCCTGTGTAATTCTACGTTATCCGTTTTCTCTTGGATGAGGGTGTTTCTGACATCTCTCCCCTGAACCTTCCTGTAATCCTCATTCATGTGAAAGCTTCGCACGTGGTCTTTTCCAGGATCATCCCAGCCCAGTTCCATGTCGGCATGATTCCAGGGGTGGGACCCAAAGATCGTCAGGACACACCCATCCTTAAAGACCTCGTGGTTCAGTGACGGAGACGATCTTGAAAACAATGCTTGAAATTAATGCAGTTTTTAAAAAAGCTGAAATTAAGGGGGAGAATCCGTACATGGTTAGGGACGACTCAGACATGGAAGGAGGGGGTCAGCCCAGCCTGGTGTCCGAGGGGTGAGTTCCGTTCTCGCTACTCAGAGGATGGCTTGCTCTCTCAGCCTGCCCTCCCCGCCAACACCCGCCCCCCCCCGCCCCCCCCGCCCGCCAGGCATTGGCCAATAATCTTCAGTGACACTGGAACTCAGGGTTGTTTGCCTGCCTTCCTTGTTCCCAGGTCTCCTCCACCTTCGCATTCACTCTTTGCAGCGTCCTTCCCGGGCAGCTGTGCGTCTCAGGCAGAGGCGCAGGGCGCTGGGACAGAAATCGAAGGACTTGCTGGGGGTCACTTGGAGCCGGGAGGGAGTGACCTGAGCTGGCAGTTCCCCGGTGGGCTCCGCGCCCGGAGTGTGCCCGCGCCTGCACAGGATGGCACTCCGCGGGGGACGTGCTGCCGCCTCCAGCCCGCGCGGTGGTCCTCACCGGGGTCTTCTTCTTCTCGCTACGGTGGTCCTCACCGGGGCCTTCTTCTCGCTACGGTGGTCCTCACCGGGGCCTTCTTCTCGCTACGGTGGTCCTCACCGGGGCCTTCTTCTCGCTACGGTGGTCCTCACCGGGCCTTCTTCTCGCTATGGTGGTCCTCACCGGGGTCTTCTCGCTACGGTGGTCCTCACCGGGGCCTTCTCGCTATGGTGGTCCTCACCGGGGCCTTCTTCTCGCTACGGTGGTCCTGACCGCGGCCTTCTCGCTACGGTGGTCCTCACCGGGGCCTTCTCGCTATGGTGGTCCTCACCGGGGCCTTCTTCTCGCTACGGTGGTCCTCACCGGGGCCTTCTCGCTACGGTGGTCCTCACCGGGGCCTTCTTCTTCTCGCTACGGTGGTCCTCACCGGGGACTTCTTCTTCTCGCTACGGTGGTCCTCACCGGGGCCTTCTTCTTCTCGCTACGGTGGTCCTCACCGGGGCCTTCTTCTTCTCGCTACGGTGGTCCTCACCGGGGCCTTCTTCTTCTCGCTACGGTGGTCCTCACCGGGGCCTTCTTCTCGCTACGGTGGTCCTCACCGGGGCCTTCTTCTTCTCGCTAGTGCTGTCGGTAAAACACGACCGCCTGGCTTCCGGCTCAGACACGTCCGTCTCTGATGCTGCAGCCGCCTTCCCCATTCGTTCTGCCTCCCGGCTCTTCATTTAGTCCTTGCGAGTCAGACTCTGTTCCGTCTGGTCCTGACGGTGCTGCGGGCTCCTTTCCTCCCCCACTGTCTGGGGGACAGCCTCTGCGTCAGTCTTACCTCGACGTGCAAACGACCTGGGGTCTTCCGCAGGCACGTCCTGCTCCCCCTCGTCTCTTCTTCGATTCACTCAGCGAGTGTGTGCTGAGCACAGGCGTGTGCGGGCCGAATTCTGGGACGAGATGTTGGACCCAGCTTTGGAACCAGCACAGGCCTGTGCAGACAGGGGCCTCTGTGCGCCTCCCCTCCCTCCCTGATGAGAGCCAGACAGCTCTCCCCGAGGCCTGGGGCAGATTTTAGGTCGGCCCTTCTGTCCTTGAAGGGCTGTCAGTGCTGCCCTGGCTGGTGGGAGCTGGGAGGCACCTCCTGTAGTGAATTGCTCAGGGAGACTTTTGTTCCTGCAAGTCAGGCTCTGTTCCTCGGGTTCTGATGGTGCCGCTTTCCTTTGGGAAGTTTTTGTTGAAACCGATGTAAATTCTTTCTCTTTCAATCCTGGCTGGTGTGGCTCAGTGGATAGAGCGTCAGCCTGCGGACTGAAGGGTCCTGGGTTTGATTCCGGCCAAGGGCACGTGCCCGGTTGTGGGCTCGATCCCCAGTGGACGGCGTGCGGGAGGCAGCCGATCAATGGTTCTCTCTCATCATTGATGTTTCTATCTCTCCCTCTCCCTTCCTCTCTGACATCAATAAAAAATATGTATATATATATATGTTAAATTCTTTCTCTCCCAGTTTCATTAATCACCCGCCTGTCTTGCTCTGTTGTTTGTTTGGAGGTTTGGGCCAGGCAGCAGGCTGCTGGGTAGACAGGTTCCTCTTTCAAAGAATCGTCCTTCCTGCCGTGGCTCGTGCCGAAGCCCAGGTTCTGTGTGGTGCAGGCGAGTCCACGCTCCCAGCCCGTTTCCTCACCTGTGAGCCGAGTCAGAGTCGCCCCTGCATCGTATGGCCCTGGGAGGCTCAGTAACTCACGTCAGTGAGGCGTTAGCATTTTTTAAAGATTTACTTTTAA